CAATTGTTCTCAGATAAACCTTACCTAGACATATATTGCTTGAACTGCTATGCATAATTTGTCAGTAGGTTGTTTGAGTAATATGGTTCCCTCTGGTTTTCAAAACTAGCTAGGCATTGTTTCTCTCTTGCATTGTCTCACCCCTCTATCATGGTTTTCCCGCTTAAGGTGCCCCCACTTCCCCCCTTTCTTCCTTACTAATACCCTTGCTCCTATGATCCTACCTCTGTCAAGTGTGGGGCTGGAGAGATGGTTCAGTGGTTAAGAGCACTGGCTGCTCTTGCAGAGGACCTGAGTTTGATTCCCAGCACCCACACGGCAGCTAACAACCATCTGTAACTATACTTCAGGGGATACAAAACCCTCTTCTAGCCTACTCAGGCATTGCAAGCACATAGTGCACTTATGTACATGCAGGCAAAACACTCATATACATAAAAATAAACATATCTTTCCAAAAAAGTGTGGAGCACTGGGGAGGCGGAGAGGGCAGAGTTCAGGGGCTCAGTGGCCAGCTAGCCTGTCTGATCAGTGAGCTCCAGGCCAGTGAGAGACCATGTCTCAAAACAGAAGGTAGATAGTGCTGAAGAAATGACACCCAAGATTGACCTATGACATCCACATGTGCATGCACACATGTACACACACACACACACACACACACACACACACACACACAGAAAACAGGTGACAGAAAAAAACAGGTGCCAGAACCCACTTCCTCCAGATAGCCAAAAGGAGAGTGAGGAGGCTCTTACTCAGGCCTGGCCTCTTGGGATGGGGGAGCCAGTCACAGAGCCTAGGGACATGGTGGCTCTCCACTGGTGGCCCCACTCATCCCTCGGTTCATGAAATCATTTCATTTTCCTTGAAAAATATAAAGATATTCTGGTTTGAAATTTCTTCTTTCCTCTCACAGTGTCCTTTTTTTTAGCTAACTTTATATAACTTTTTTCTCCTTGTGGTACTGGGCATTGACTCTGGAGCCTTACCATGCTAGCCAGGCATTCTACCACTGACCTGTATACATACACCTCCTTTTTTTAAACTTTATATTTTGAGACAGGCTCTTGCCAAGTTGCCCAGGTTGGCCTCTAACTCACTCTGTAGCTAAGGCAGGCCTTGAACGTGCAGTTTTCTCACCCTAGCCTCCCAAGTAGCTGGGATTGCAGACCTGTATTGCCTGGGATTGCCCAACTTTGACTTTAAATAACTGTTATTTTAATCATTGACTGAATTCATGGTCAGTTCAAACAGCCCTCATCCTAGGGAAAAGAGACAGGCTTTGCTTAAGCTTGCTTACTACTTGTCTCCCTCTGTGCTTGAAGCACGCAGTGGTGACATGATCCTTTGTGTGGTCTGTCTTCCTGACCTGACCTGTCATAATTTGAAATACCAGGAAATATACTCACTCATCAAACTTCCCCTTTGCCCCTTTCTCTGGGAAAATAGCTGTTATGGTTTGAATGTGAAATGTCTCATATATGTGAACACTTGGTCATTGGACGGGGGTTTTGCTTGGGAGGGTTGTGGAACCTTGAGGAGGTTCAGCCTCACTTGAGTGAGTCACTAGGGGTGAACCCTGATGCCTTATAGCCCAGACCTACTTCCTGTTCACTCTCTGCTTTCTGACTGTGGACACGTGACCGCCAACCTCCCTCTCCTGCTGCCATGCCTTCCCTAGCATGATGGACTGTGTCCTTTCTGTAAGCCATAAAAAACCCCTTCCTTTCTCAGATTGCTTTATGCCAGGATGTTTGCAACAGCAATGAGAAAAATAGCTAATATTGGACCTTTCCATTTTGCCTTTTCCATGTCCAAACATAAGAAAAACCTGCCTCGGGCAACAGAACCTCTATGCCCCCATTCTGGGGTCACTTCAGGGGTGCGTGGCTGGCCATGGGGTGCACCTGGAACCCCACTCCAGCCCCACACAGAAGGCTGTGTTGGCACACACGGGTGCCTAGGTGACAACGGAGTTCCCCTTCTTGCTCTTTCAGCTCTCGAAGGCCCTGGACCGTGTGGATAGCGATGAGGACTCACCTCTGGTGACACTGTCCTTTGCCCTGTCCATTCTGGGAAGGAGAGCTCTGGGGACAGCAGCACATAATATGGCCATGAGGTACCTGGGGAACAGCTAGATTTCTTAGGGTTTACATTCGATAGATTATGGCGATCATTTCCTTTATTTTAATGATGACCTACTTACCTGGCCTTCCTCAATTAAAAAAAGTTCGAGTCTGTAAAATGCTTTTATCATTATAATCTTTTGGCTGCTGTATTTGGAAATATGATTAATACGGGCAATTGAGAACCAGGGATTTGGGGCATAGGGCCTTCCAGGTTGTGAGGGTTGGGCTGGGAATGTAGCTCATTTGGTAAGTACTTGCCTAGCATGCATGAAGCCCAGGGTTCAGTCTATAGGTCCTGGTGGCACACATCTATTATCCCAGAAGTCGGGAAGTAGAGGCGGGAGGATCAGAAGTTCAAGCTCATCCTTAGCTACATACTGATTTCAAGGCTAGCCTGAGCTACATGAAACTCTGTCTAAAGAAAAAAGAAAAAGGAACAAAATAACAACAAACAAGCAGGTTGTAAGCATCCTAGTACCTATTGAAGTTGATGCTCAGACAGTTTCCTCCCCTGTCACTGTTTTCTCTGGCCACTTCTCATCCTCTCTAACCCAGGCAGTGTCTGACACAGAGCCCTGCTGCCCTACCTCTCCAGTTAAGATGATCTAACCAGTGGTTGGGAACTGCCAATGACTGTGTCAGTTTCTGTTTTTGTCAATGTGATCAAAATGTCTGTGAGAACAAGTTAAAGGAAGGATTTATTTTGGCTCATGGTTTTAAAACTTTCAAATCCATCATGGTGGAAAGGGCATAGAGCTGCTCAGACAGAAAGCAGAGTAAAGCATCACAGGAAGGGGTCAGGGATATAGGGATGAATTTCCTGAGGGTACCCCCCGCCCCCGTATGGAGGGTATGATGTACTTCCTCCACTCAGGTCCCACCTTCCAACAGTCCCACCCCACCACCCAATAGTCTATTACAATTTAAACCCATCGGCAGATGAAACCATTGATTAGGCCAGAGGTTTCCTGATTTGTCCCTGGAAACACCCTCATCGACACCCAGGAATTGTGCCTTAACAGTCTCCTAGATATCTCTCAATCCAAACAAGTTGAAGGTCCAGATCAACCATCACAAAGATCTTAAGCCAACCTGGGGCTCAGAGGGCATCAGAAGCTCCTATCTGGGACAGGGTTATGAGGAGCCCTCTGTGGAAAACGAGACACTTTGCTTCCACAGTTCTCCCAGTTGTCTTTACTGTGAAGGTGAAGGGTGGGGAACTGGCTGAAGTGCTTTACTAAGGCACAAGCCTAGGACAGAGCTGGAGTTACCATACTGGCAGAAGCCAGCTCTTCAAGCAATGGCTCGGCAACCAGCCATAACAACTGGTTCTAGCAGGGACTGCACTTTCCACTGGCTACAGGCTGTGCCTGTTCACCCTTGGTCTGTCTTCATTCAGTAGGCTGCTGGGTCAGGGACCATAACAAGTGACCTGTCTGTTCTCACTGTGCAGTGCTCAGTGGTATCCTAGGCAACACACACCAGCTCTTCCAGTTGAAACAAAATGTGTCCAAGTATCAGCTGCCCATTATATTTCAAGGTGCAGCAGCTCCTAGGCGCCATTTTGATTTTATCCCTGTATTTAGCATGCTCGTGGTGCCGGGTGAACCCATGTCCATCTCAGTGTCTCAGGTTTTGTCTTTCATGTGTGCACACACTTCCTTAACACCATTAACCTACGCTGGGCTTTCTTGGGGTTAGGCTACGCTCTCTGCCTAGCCATAACTGTCCTCTTTCTGCTGATTCCTCAGCTTCTTGGCTCCTTGAGAGCGTTGCCTACCTCCTTCTTGGACTGAGAGAGGAGTTAGTCTCCAGGAAGGGCGACCTTGATTAGGTCGTGTGCCATTCTCACAGCAGTGACATCCCAACCCTGACTGGTGGCCAGGGTTGGAGTCTACCACCATTTCTCAGTTTTTTTTCCTCTCTCTTCTCTCTCTCTCTCTCTCTCTCTCTCTCTCTCTCTCTCTCTCTCTCTCTCTGTATTTTCATGTATCTCCAGGTACATATATGTGTACAAATGCACATATGTGTAGAGGCCAGGTAATAAGCTTGGCTGTCAGTCCTTAGGCACCGCCCACTTTAGAAACAGCTCTCTTATTAGCCTCAGACTTCAAGTAGGCTAGGCCAGCTGGCCAGCGAGCACTAGGGAGCCTCCTGTTTCTGCCTCCCCAGCACTGGGATTACAAGTGTATACCATTGCATCTGGCTTTTCAATAGAATCCTAAAAAAAGACAAAACACTGTGATCCAAATCCGAATGCATTGCAGATGGTCTGGAGATTTCCACTTTCCCTACTTCCCACCCTAACCTGCTCACCCCCAGCCTACTGGCTGCCTTCCTCCTCTTCATTCTCTCCAGGGGAAAAGGCCGGTTATGAAACACCTCCTGTTAGCATGGCTCTGTATGAGGTGAGAGGGGTGATCTGCAGTTGGGAAGGATTCTCACCCAGGCTTTGGTTCCTGTGGAAAGTCACTTTAATAGAATAACTACAAGCAGTGCATTGTGTCATTTCCTCTGAAAAGAACCAAAAACTAAAGTGTGGACTGTCAAGGCCTCAGAGGGGAGCCTGGGCATCTTAGTGAGGCTCTGGAGGAAGCAGTGATCTGCCACTGACCAAAAGCATACTGGGACTCTTTGTGTCTGTGGGTGTCACCCTGCAGATCTGGGTGAGTCCCTGAGTCTTCCTTTATGTAGTCCCGTCACTATATCTGAGGGAGTTTTTCATTTTTGTGTGTGCAAGGCTATTCTGAGTGTGCAGTGTGCTGTCTCCACTCCCTTCCTGCATTCATCCACCCATGCTTAGCACTGACCCTCCACCTCAATTGCTTAGTGTTTATCTGATGCTATCCCCAGATGTTTCTGTGGAGAACAGAGGGCAGGCCTCTGCTCCCGGCAGCAGCCTTCCCACAGTCCTGCTCTGCTCCAACACTTCCCAGGAACTGGCTGCGGCTCTCTGCCTTAGAGCTTTTGCTCTGTGAGCAGACAGCCCTTTGGGGAAGCTTACCTCTTGGATCTCTTTCCAGAAGGTTCCAGGTTCCTCCAGGCCACAGCACTGGCCTCACCTGATCAGCCCCTGGCAGCTCTTGTTTCTCATAGCCTGCTTTGGCACAAAGTCTCTCCCAAGGGAGTTCTGGGAGGAAATTAATGATGGAGGTACCATGCACTACTTCTTGTAACAGCATCTTGTGGTGGATGTGTTTCACTGACATGCAGTGTCAATGCACTGATGCACTGTTGAGTCAGAGGAACTGCTCTCTAGATCCTTGGAGATTCTTTTTCCCATATGTGTCCTGCTCCTCTTTTTCCAGGGCAGCCCTTCCAGGCTTCCGGCTAGCCTCACACCTGTGTCTCCAGGGCATAAGAGGTAGCTGTGAGAGGGTATAGTGTAGAAATAATGATTGAGGACGGGAGGGCCATCCTTCATGTCCTCAGAATGTAGGGTAAGCCACTTTCCCAAGCCCATTCCTCATGTTCACTGAAAAAGGTCCCAGACCCCCAACAACTTCCCCTGGGTGACATTCCGTTCTTTATCCAGGTGACCTTCAGTGATATGGAAAAAAAAAAAAAAACAGGAAATGAAACAAAGCAGGAAAACGTGGACATGAAAAAACTCACCCCCATCCCCCCACAGAGCCCTTAGTCATTGATGTTGGCCCTCACCACCCTGCCTCTTCCCCAGTCTCAAAGAAAGGGTGGCATTGGGAACGGTTGTATTCTAAGAATGTTAGGGGACCACATTTGGGTTCCATTTGATTATTTTTGCTTCTCTCCACATTACTCCGAGTAATAAAGCACTGAAATCACATCCAGAAATATAAGAAGAGAAATGATGCTGGTGAAGGACAGGCAGGTTTGGCAGAGCCCGTGGGACTGGGGAGGGTGAGTCTGCTGTCCTGCAGCTCTCTGATGCATGTGTTTGGCCTGTTCCAACCCGGGCCTCAATTTCACAATCAGAGATATAGTTGTGGATTCCTGTGGGGGATAGGAGATGACCCCACACTGAAGCAAAAGCACAGGTCAGGGATCTCGTACCCAGCTATAAGGTCAGACACTAGGGACTCTGTGGTGAGTCCAGAGTCATGTTCCTTTCCATGCTGGGTCAGTATACATATAAGAAGATAATTCGTGTGTGTGTGTGTGTGTGTGTGTGTGTGTGTGTATACATATGTGTGACTGTGCTTGTGGAGACCAGAGGACAACCTCAGGTGTTGTTCCTCAGATTCATCCACCTTATTTTGAAATAAGATCTTTCAGTGGCTTGATGATCACTGATTAGGTTAGGCTAGTTGGCCTTTTAGCCCTAGGGATCTGCCTGTCTCTGCCTTTCCAGGACTAGGATAACAAGTGCTCACCACCTTGCCTGATGTTTTAATAGGGGTTCTGGGGATCAAATTCAGGTCCTGATGCTTGTAAGGTGAACACTGTACCCACTGAGCATCTACCCAACCTCAGGAAGATGGTTCTTAAACTAGGAGATATGAATGCTGGTGGGAATGGTGGGACCCTGAGCACTGTGCAGTGTGAACCCCCAGTGATGTGACTGTGTTTTTCAGCCTGGATTCATTCCTGTATGGCCTCCATGCCCTCTTCAAAGGTGACTTCCGGGTCACGGTGCGGGATGAGTGGGTATTTGCAGACATGGATCTGTTGCACAAAGTTGTTGTTCCAGCCATCAGGATGTCCCTGAAACTGCACCAGGTAAAAAGTCACTTCTGAAAAATGAATGAGGCTAAAACTGTAGGGGACATATAGAGTCTTCTCTGCTTCCTTCTCCTGCTTCCTCCCCACGGTGAAGTGAGCAGCCTCTTCCTCTGCAGGATCCCTGATCTGTGATCTTCTGCCTCCCCACTGGCCTAGAAACAATGCAGCCGAGGAGTTTAGGGTGAATTCTACAAAACTATGAGCTGAAATAGAGAATTCCTTCCTTTAAGCTTCCTTTAGTGTCCAGTATTGGATTACAATGAGAAAAAAAATAAATACTCTGGGCTGAGGAGATGCCCCAGTCAAGAAAGTGCTTGCTTTGCAAGCATGAGGACCTGGTTCAAACAAGAGAACCCACATCACAAAACCAGATGTGGTAACATGCTTGTAATCCCAGTGTTGGGAAGGCAAAGATGAGAGGGTTGTTAGGGTTCACTGGCCAGCCAGCCTAGCTGAAATGAGGAGGCCTATGTTCAGTGAGAGATCTTATCTCAAAAAAAGGTAGATAGCAGCTGAGTTAGACACCTGGGGTTGACCTCTAGTCAACACACATGTACTCACACATACACTACACACACAGTAGAAGTAAATGATCCAGTCTTTATCTCTCCCTGATGTTTAGTACATACTTAACTAATAATTATTAGTGAGTGAATTATTAGTGGTAAATTATTCTAGGTAAGTCTGTGCTGCAGAGTGAGCTTATAGTAAGAATATAAGCTTTGGAAAACGTGGTCCCCTTTTCCTGCAGGGCCTTAGGAATAACTGAATACTCAGCTAAGGAAGCATTGAGGCAATCTGAATAGCTTTGACATTGGCCAATGGCCATCTACCCTCAGGAGCTGCTAGGAGAAGGTGATAGTTCACTAGAAAAAGGAGGTTGACCCAAACACCGCAGGGGCCTGAGCCATCAGCTCTTTCCTAAGCTTGCTCCCTCTGGTTAGATGAGTTGATACCCTCTGCACCCAGCTCAGAATTTGGAGAAAGCAGGGTGAGGAGGAAGAGGAGAACCCATGGACCCAGAAGCCACTGTGAGTCTCTGGAGGCTGCTGCAAGCTCTCCTCTGTGCTTTCCCAGAACCGGCAGCTCTGACCTCACTGAGCACACCTGGGTTCTCTCCTCCAGGACCAGTTCACCTGCCCTGATGAGTATGAAGACCCAGAAGTCCTCTACGAGGCCATCCAGTCCTTTGAAAAGAAGGTGGTAATCTGCCACGAGGGAGACCCGGCCTGGAGGAGTGCAGTGCTGTCCAACAGGGAGGAGCTGCTGACCCTGAGGCATGTGGTCGATGAGGGCGCAGACGAGTACAAGGTCATCATGCTCCACAGGGGCTTTCTGAGCTTTAAGGTCATCAAGGTAGGCCACGTGCCCTGGTATCTGTCTTGTGAACACTCGAGAAGAAAGCAAAAGCAGCTGACACCACCAGACCAAGGTCCCGAGGTCAGAGGAATGCAGGCCAACTGGCAGAGGCAGAGCCAGGCTGAGTTAGAGAGTCATGGTTGCCCTGGCAGGGTCACCTCCCTGCTTGGAGAACCAGTACATGAGAAGGACTTGGGCCAACAGTCCCAGCCAGCGCCCTTGTAGATGAGGTCAGACTTGGTTCTCTTTTAGATTTTAGATGTGTCCAATCTTTTGGCATGGTGAAATAACATTACCATGTGCCGCTACCTGGGTCTTGGACTATGAGCTGGACACATCTGTTCTAGAGTTCCAGGCTTTTCTGAGCCCCCTGCTCCTGGTTCAAGAGCTGTCCTCCCCATGACGCCTCTTTTCATGGAGCTAAGATAAATCTTACTTTCTTTTTATTTTCCTTGAGTTCCCATATGGGTATGCCATCTGTTTTTAGGACTGAGTGCAGAGTCTTAGACCAAGCCTCACATCCCCTGACTCCCCATCCCAGAGCCTTGCCCACTACTGTGGGTTAAGCCCACAGGCTGACGCCATGCGCTTCTCCTCAATCCATGCCTTGCCAACAGGTGAACAAGGAATGTGTGCGTGGACTCTGGGCTGGGCAGCAGCAGGAACTAATCTTCCTGCGGAACCGCAACCCAGAGCGTGGCAGCATTCAGAACAATAAGCAGGTCCTGCGCAACCTCATCAACTCCTCCTGCGACCAGCCCTTGGGCTACCCCATGTACGTCTCCCCACTGACCACGTCCTACCTGGGCACCCACAAGCAGCTGCAGGGTGTCTGGGGTGGGCCTGTCACACTGGACAGTATGAGGACATGGTTCCGGACCAGGTGGCTGAGGTAGGGTTTCTCCAGGGGCCTCTGACTTGGGGCTAGGGAGGAGTGTGTGGAGCAGAGCTCTTACGCTGCGGTGTGACACCACAGGTCACTGTTGTCTCATGAGGGAACCTGTTACACCAGAGTGGCCTCTAACAGGTCATGTGTTCAACAAAAGATCTCAGAGTGAGTCAACAGAATGTTGCACACACAGATATCCTTTCCCCACACTCTTGGGTCCGGCTGTGCCTGAATTCTAGCTGGGCTGAGGCATCCATAGATCTTTTATTTTGTGTGTGCGCTGATGCACATGTGTGCGCAGGTGAGTGTTGAGGCCAGAACCTTGGGTATGGTTTTTCAGGCATCATTCACCATTGTGTGTATGTGTGTGTGTGTGTGTGTGTGTGTGTGTGTGTGTGTGTGTGTGTGTGTGAAGGTGTGGAGGTGTGGAGGTGTGCACATGCCATGGCGTATGGCATAGATGTGTAGGCCGGAGGACAACTTTGTGGAGTCAGTTCTTTCCATCTTGCTGGCCCTTTTTTTTTTTTGAGACAGAGTCTCTCACTGGCCTACACTCATCAATCAGGCTAAAGTGACTGGTCAGCAAGCCCCAGGGACCTGTTGATCTCCATCTCCCAGCACTGTGATTATAAGCACCAACATTTTTTACCTGGGTTCTGGGGATCAAACTCAGATCCTCACACTTGCATGGAAAACACTCTAATTGAACCATCTCCCAGTCCTCCTGGGAGCTCTACAGGGACTGTTTTGAAGCTAGAGAGAACCAGGCCTGAACTCTCATGCACGTTACTCACACACTCAGTCTTCTGTCCCATGAGCCTCCAGTTACCAAGGGCATTCTAAACTTTGCTTCAGTATGCTGGCGCTCCTGATTAGACATCCTAGCTGGAAGTTTTGTGGAAGGTTCAAACTGAAGCTTCTTTGTCCTGGCATGCCTATTTGTTTGTTAGTCACTAAGCCCCTTCTTCACCTGCACCTCAGAGGTGCTGTCTACCTGGAGAAAGTATCCTCTACCCAGGTCAGTCATGGCTCTGGGCTTGGGTCACTTAGCAACAGGATCTGCTCTGCCAAAGTCACACGAAACAAGCCAACTATATGTCGCTAGGTGACATGGTCCTTCTTTTTTTTGGTCTTTTTGAGACAGGGTCTCCCTGTAGCCCCGGCTGTCCTGGAACTCTCTATGTAGACCAGGCCGGCCTTGAACTCACAGAGATCTGCCTGCTTCTGCCTCCCAAGTGCTGGGACTACAGATGCACGCCACCACGCCTGGCTGACATTGTCTTTTGAGACCACTGTCCTTGACTGATATCACTGTGTGGCATGTGACTAGATGTGGGTGTGTCAGTGAGACCCTGAATCTCCTGTCCCTTCCACAGAATGCGGAAGGATTGCAGTGCTGGGCAGCACAGTGGTGGCAACATCGAGGACGCAGATGGTGGAGTGACTCCATCAGCATGTGGCAGTAACATCCCTAATGGTGAGAGCCAGCGCAGCAGCACAGAACAACCCAGAAAAGGAGGTGCCCAGCACTGGGCCTCACCCCATGGAGGGACTCAGAGGGCAGGTGGGTGTCTGGGGCCTGAGGTTCAGTGCCACAGCATGGATTACTATACTCTGAGGGTCTCTTGCTGCAGTCAAAAGAACTGAGGTCGATGACTGTTGGACGAGGTCTACTCAGCTTTAGTCATTCATCTGTCTTTGTGTCCATTACTTTGGGCAGCTGTCTGTCCCCCTGCCTGGCAGACACTCCATTTCCTCCATCCCTCTCAGTGATGCTGGTCAGTGTACATCCTGAGTGTGGTGTGTTGCAGTCATGACCCTGCGTGATATCCTTCTCTGTCTGCCAACAGTCCTGTGCCCCTCCTCACCCTCTCTGTGGGCACCAGCATTCCAGGGCAGAAAAAGGAAGTTTATAATCAGAAAGGAGAGAGGAGGAGGCTGGGGCTGAGCCTAAAGTTTAAAACCCTGTTTCTAGCTGTGAATTACTCTATTCCAGATGGAAAAGGCCCTGATACTTGCCAGCAGTCCTGGGCAGAGAGGAGCTGAGGTTGACACATCTTGAGGATTCAGGGGAGGTAGAGGCCCTGGCCTGGTTCCTTGCTGCTCCTTGGCTCTGCCCTCTGCAGCCTGTCAATGTTTTCATCCTCTGCCCTCAGTTCCTTCTTCTTCACCTTCCAGAAGCATCTAAATGCTTTGTGCACACTTCCACCACTAGTTCTGCACCAGGAGGGCAGGGCCTGCCTTCCAAGAGTACCCAAAGCAAGGTGCTGGGGCAGTGAGAGGGAACAAAATGGTAAGATTATGTAAATGTGGTTGAGTGGCAAATTGGGTGGGTGTCTGGATGGATGAAAAGATAAATGATAGATAGATAGGTAGATAGATAGATAGATAGATAGATAGATAGATAGATGATGGATGGATAGGTGGATGGATAGAGAGATGATAAATAGATGATAGATATAGATAGACAGAGGTAGATAGACAGATAGATGATAGATAGATAGATAGATAGATAGATAGATAGATAGATAATAAATGTGGTAGTTAGTAGATAGACATATAGACGATAGATGGATGTGGTAGGTAGGTTGATAGTTAGATGGTAGGTAGATAGATGATAGGTGAGACAATAGATGATAGGTAGATAGATGATGGATGGATGGATAGATAGATGATAGATAAATAGATGATAAATATAGAAAGATAGATGATAGATAGATGATAGATGATAGATAATAGATAGATATATAGATGATAGATGATTGATAGATAGATAGATGATAGATAGATAAATAGATAGAGAGATGTAGGTAGGTGTAATAGGAAGGCAGGTGAAAGGTAATGTATATATAACAGATGGTAGATAGAAGGGGAGAGGGTGTGAGGAGATGAATGATATATGACAGAAAAATAACATAGAGAGATGATAGCAAGGTAGAGGGATGGTTGACAGAGCATAGAAAACAAAGTGGGTGGCCGGGAGGTAGAGGGGGAAAAGAAAGTGGCTGAAGTCAGCTGTTTGGAAGAAACAGAGCTCCCCCACTGCCCCCAGCTGCCTACAGTCTGCCCTGATCCTAGAGTGGCAGTGTCAGAGGCTTCCAGAGTGCCAGGAGGTTCTTATTGCTTCCAGAGTATTTACTATGGCAGGAAAAACATGTTTCAAGGACACATGGGTGATTTTCCAGCTGGGAAAGCACATGAGTCTTGGCGCTTGCTGGTCCTTGCAGGTGATATGCCTGGTAGAGTGAGGCTAGGGAGGTCTAAGTGGGGCAGAAGGCCCTAAGGGGTCTCTTCCTGTTGAGCACCTTCTGCCCTTTCCGAGCAGTACAGCACATGTAGCTGGTGGGGCTTGAGAAGCCAGATGCCCTGCTCTGTTCAAGACCCAGATGTGGGCAAGAGTCCCTTCCTGCTCACCACCATGCCTGCTGGTGGAACATGCCAAGGATGTTGAGGGCTCTTGATGGGGCAGGATCTTTGAAAAGCCCAAACTAGCTGTTAGGTTTTCATTATTGCTTCTTAAAGCTGTATTACTAGTACCAGCCCAGCTCTCCACTTTAAGTTAAAGAGGCATGCTGAAAAAACTCCAGAGACTGGGCTCTGAGTCAAGTCAGTCCTGGAGTGAGGGTCATACAGCCCCGGCCTAGCTTGCATTGCCCCTCTCTTTATGCATCCATTTGTCTACTGTACCTTACTGCTCTGTGGAACACCGCAGGAGGGTTGCACCTATACAGTCACTTATACTCTCCAAGGCTCTAGGCACCTAGGGGTGCTCTGTGTTCCCCTTTCAACTGCAGACACTGGGGCACAGAGAAGGTAAGTCACCACACTAAGGTACTCAGCCATTAAGCAGCCAATCTGGGATCCAGACAAGGCAGGACAGCCCCAGAGCCTCTGATCCCACACACTGTGCCCTGGGAATGTGCCTCCCTTCAGATCCTACACCGTCCCAACCCCGAGTATCTTGAACCGCAGGACATGTCCGCAGCCCAGGCAGCTTAAACGACAGAAACTTGCTACCAGAGAAACTAAAGTTCCCTTTGGGGATTCTTAGTCTCATTAATAAAAGAATTCAGAAAGTGACCCAAGAGGAAGCTCAGGACAATTTTATTAGAGTTTAAAAGAAAACATAATACAGGTTAGGTGAAAATCCCAGCAGCCACCAGGAAAAGAGATGGAGAAAAAAAATCATGCCAATTAAGTTAGGCATGGAATAGAAACAGAAAGCTTATTAGGAAAGAGAAAAGCATCCAAGAATAGAAGTGGGTTAGTGAGTGGAGGAAAGAGTCCCATGGCACCCAGCCAAGCAGAGCATGGTCTTCATAGCCCCCTCTACTCACATTTGCTGGATTTTTCACACATGCTCTGTTCCTAAAATGATTCCAAGGTAAGGCAGGACTTCCAGTCTTCCTCTACAAGCTGGCTTCTTTCGCATGCTGATTTCAGTGTAGATGATTTCAATGGTTCCTACTCTCCTATCACACTTCTGGTCCCACATTCTGGGGGCTGTGAGTCTAAGATCAAGGTATGGCTGGGACTCCTCCTGCCACTGTGAGTGGGATCCCATTCCAAGGGTTTCCTGGCTGCTGTGATTCCTGGCCACCTTTGGCATTCTGTGACTGTAGAGGCATCACCCTGACCATGGCCTTCATCCTCATGTGGAGTCTCCCTGTGGACATGTCTGGGTCCAGATGTCCCTTTTCTATGAAGATGCCAGTCATGTTGGACTAGAGCCCATGCATCTCTGGTGTGCCCTCATCTTAACTAGTCCCATCCACTACAAGGACCCTCTTTCCATGGACAGTCATGTTATGATGTACTGGGGGTTAGGCCTTTGTCATATGAATTTAGAGGGACCCATTCAACCCATAGCAAGGCATAAGCCTGTACCTTGCCTGTAGGTCTCTCCCTCACCAGCACCAGATAGAAAAATCAAACATGACCAATACCATAGGACTCCCTTTCCTACCCATTCCAGTTCTAAAGATAGCCTGATCTTGACCTCTGTATCAATTACTTTCTTTGTCTGTAACAGAAATAATTTAAGGGAGGAAGAATTTATTTATTTTGGTTCCTGGTTCAGGGATAGAGTCCATTGTGATGGGGAAGGCATGGGGGCTGGAGCAGACTCAGTCTGGCAGTAGGAGTCTGCATTTATCACACCATGGCAGCATACAGGAAGTCAAGAACTTAGAGGGAAGCTGCCTAGGTCCCCATGACCTACTTCCCCCAGTGAGGCTCTACCCCCTAAAGGTTTCAGACTCCCAACTGGGTACCACACACATGAGTCTGTGGGAGATATTTCCCACCAAACCAGAAATACTAAGCATTATGTGATAGACAAGCATGGGGCCACTCAGGGGTGGGGAGCTGCCTCTGGGAATGACAGGACAATGGGAAGATTCACCCACCAGCAGAGTGAGAAATTCTGTGCCAATTCTAACTGGGCTGTGTACCACTCCTGGTGACAGCACTCCCCTCCCATCCACCATGTTCCTGTGACTGGGGTCACCTCCCATGACTGCCCCACCCTGTCTGTTTCTGGTTTTGGTTCCCAACATTCATCCTGGTTCTGACCCTTTGTCAGATGCTCAGATGTCTGACCAGAATCCCAACAAGCAAGATACCCCAGGCTACCACACTGTGCATTCACTGCTGGTGTGCTAGGCAGGTCACTCCACTGCCAGGAGCTCCATGTGCCAGCTCCACTGGGGTTTCTGACAACCCACAATCATCTCATCATAGTAAACAGCATGTATCACAGCTGAGGAGAGTTGGCTGAGGAGAGAACCAGTGACCTACTTACCAGGAGCAGGGTGGTTAGAAACCCACCTCCCCTCTGAATCCCAGACCAGAGAGAGGGACTGGGATCTTGTATCACTAAAGGGGTCCCACACAGCCTTTCACTACCAATCAAAGGAACTGAAGGATGAGGAGCCAAGGGGCGTAATTGACATCGTGTTTCCATTCAGGTTTGAAGGTTTTCTGTAGAAATGCTCATGATTTGATAATGCAGTTGTTGGAAAAATAAGTTAATTGTGAAGTAATGAGTCTGAGCTGCACAGATGACTTTAGCATCGCTTCAGCTGTGTGGTGCTGTCTCATTTGTAAAGTTAAAACAGAAAAAAACAGAAGAGCAACAAAAGTCGAAAACAATAGCTGAGGTGGGACTGGGGAGATGTCTGCAAAGTTCTTGCCAAACAAGCCTGAAGATCTGAGTTCAGATCCCCAGCACCCATGTAAAAGCTGGGAGCTGTGACATGTCTATGACTTCAGCACTGGGGGGCTACAGAGGGGGATCCCTGTGCCAGCCTAGCAGTACTGGTGGGCTCCAGGTTCAGTGAGAGATCTTGTTTCAGAAAAATGGTGATTGATAGAGGAAGCCACCAACACACACAGGCACACATATGTACATACATGTGGAGACACACATGCTCACACAGATGAAACACACATGCCATCACAAAAGCACGCCCTCACGCACACATGCACACATATACATTTGTGCACATGTGCACACACAGAATATCTGAAGTAGTAGAAGTGCGGAGGTGTCGTCATGTATGGACTACATACATCTTCCTTTGATACTCCATAATCATTTTCTCAATTGTTCTTTATAGAAGAAGGTCCCGCCCAGAGGAGGTGGTCCATGGAGATCACTGTCACCAACATGTGGATGGATGGGTATGGAGGGGTTTTGTATAGAGATGGGCGTTAGAACACACAAGCAGATGTTTAGCCTTGCCAGACTCCAAATAAACTAACAAATCACCATCCCTGCTCTTAACACAAACTAACAAATCACTATCCCTGCTCTTAACACAAACTAACAAATCACTATCCCTGCTCTTAACGTTGACTGCCCGGGTCCTCCACAGGTCCTCCACACACACCCCAATTTAGAAGAGTGACATATTTGAGTGACTTCTCAGTTGGAACCTTCAAGGTCAAGGTCATTCCCCTGTGCACAAGACATACGGGTTCCAGACTCATGGAACCCATTAGTCCAGCACCATTCTGGGGACCCCATGAAGCCTCTCAGGTTAAGCCTCCATTTCCACAGCCTGCAAGGCAGGAGAAACCCAGGCAGGGCACCAATGAATGCCTTCTGGAAATGAGCACTCCACCATCACTACATCCAGTCTGATGTCAGAGAGGTCTAGGTTGTGTACTCAGCTCCAGCCTTATCCTATCTCTCTGGATGGACCACCCTGGCTTCCTCAGGCAAGCAGAGCAGACACCTGCAGCACCATCACACAGACATGGGTACACCTGGCTGCCTGCTGCAGTGACTCACTGTTTTTTAAGATTGTAAAATGTGCTGGGCGTGGTGGCGCACACCTTCAATCCCAGCACTTGGGAGGCAGAGGCAGGCAGATCTCTGTGAGTTCAAGGCCAGCCTGGTCTACATAGTGAGTTCC